GGAGGAAGAAGCTCCTGCAGACCCAGCCCTGCCCCTGCCCTGCACACCCAGCCCAGCCAAGGGGGTTGTTGCCTCTTGCCTCCCTCCCACCACCCCCGTGTCACCCCAGCCCACGGACACTCACCAGCAGCAGCTTCTCCTCCCACTCCTGCTGGGACAGGGACTCCTCTGTGTTCTCTAGGAGAAAAGCACATTTATTGTTTGGTTTTTTCCACACTGGTTTCTCACCCTCATGGACACCCCAAAGCAAGGGCAGGTGGATCTCAAATGCTGGATGTGCTGCAGTGAGCAGAGCAGGGACAAAGGCAGGAGGGAGCCAAGGAGGGACACCAGTGACAGGAGGCAGAGAAGCAGGGATGGGAGAAGAGCTTCAGGATCCCCCAGCCCTGCCCATTCCCCACTGCCCCGTGTCCCTCAGCACCATCCCCAGGGCTTGGAAACCCCTCCAGGGATGGGGACTCCCCCCCTGCCCTGGGCAGCCTGGGCCAGGCCCTGCCAACCCTTGCCAGGCAGGAATTGTTCCCCAGATCCAACCTCAACCTCCCCTGGCACAACTTGAGGCCGTTCCCTCTTGGCCCAGGGCTTGTTCCTGGGGAGCAGAGCCCGACCCCCCTGGCTCCAACCTCCTCTCAGCAGCTGCAGAGCCAGCAGGTCTCCCCTCAGCCTCCTTTGCTCCAGGATCAGCACCCCCAGCTCCCCCAGGTCTCCCTTGTCCCTCTAACCCAGGACCCAACCCCTCTCCAATGACCCCACCACACCAAGTGCCACCTGCCCGAGCACCCCAGGGTTCTTGGGACACCCCTTTGGCAGAAGGTCCAGCAGAGAGTTTCTCCCAAGCCAAAAAACAAACCCCACCCCAGAAGCAACCCCTTCCTACCCTCGATGTGCTCCAGCAGCAGAGGGAGCCTCTTGGCCCAGAGGGGCTGCAGGGCTGGGTGGAGGCTGCGGGGCAGCACCAGCAGCAGCCGCCGGCGCGGCCCCGCCTCTCCCCCAGGAAGGGCTGCGAGGAGACCACCTGCAGGGGGGCAGGGAGCAGAAGTTGGGGGGCTGGGGGTGCAGAGAGGACCTTTCCCGGGTTGCCAGGCCCCGAATGTGAATGTTAAACCCCAGGGATGCAGTAAGAGGAGGTGATGGGTGGTGACGGGACGTGAGCTCCCCGCTCGTGCGCCTGGGGGTGGCAGGAGAGAAGGTCTCTCCACACCCTGGGGGAAGGGGAAGGATCTCCAGCCCCTCCAGGGCTGAGGGGCAGCTTCTCCAAGCCCTCTGAGAAGAGCTGGAGGTCAGCACACCCCGTGGACACGGCTCTGAGGGAGCCTGAGCTCTCACTGCCTGCACGGAGACGTGGAGGGGATGGGGTGTCCCCAGGAGCTGCACCAGGGCTGGGGACATGGGCACCTCTGCCTGGAGGAGCAGGGTGAAAAGGGGCAGTGGCCCTGCCTGCTGGCCCAGGGTGGGCTTCTCTTAGCCCCTGTGGGGCAGGGGAGGGAAGGGGGTTTCTGTGGAGGTGCAGGTCCCTGGGGAAGGGAAGGGCTCTGCCACTCACCAGCAGCCGGGTCGTGAGGGCGTAGGGAGAGGGCAGGTTTGCTGCCAACAGAAGGGAAAGAAAAACACCTTCAGACAACATCTCCCAGGCTTCCTCCAAGCTCCCACCCAGCAGGCCAGGGACCACCTGCCTTGCAGGGGGGTCCCCAGGTCGCCCACCCCCCTGCACTGACCGTTCAGGTCGTAGCGGATGAGCGGGGCCTTTTCTCCCTCCTCTTGCTTCTTCATGGCCAAGTACATGAGGCTCTTGCAGAGGGGGGTGAGGGCGTTGGTGAACTGCAGGGGGGTGACAAACTCCAGCAGGTAGGGCCACAGGACCTGCCAGGAGAGGGGAGCCTGGAGCCCAGCCCTGCTGGAGGAGCAGGGGAGGCAGCAGGAGCCCGGCAGGGGGAATGGAGACCGAGGGAGAGGAGGAGATCCCAGCCCAAAGGCCTTTTGCTGAGGGGAAAATCATCCCATCCCAGACTGGGTTGGGTTGGAAGGGACCTTAAAGCTCATCTAGTTGTGACCCCCCCTCCCAGCTGGCTCAGAGCCCCATCCAAGCTGCCCTTCAACACCCCCAGGGATGGGGCAGCCACAGCTTCCCTGGGCAACCTGGGCCAGGGGCTCCCCACCCTCACAGCCCAGAATTTCTCCCTCCCATCTCAGCTCCAGCTCCCTCTGCCAGCTGGAAACCCTTCCCCCTGCTCCCATCCCTCCCTGCCCTTGTCCCAAGCCCCTCCCCAGCTTTCCTGGAGCCCCTTCAGGCCCTGGAAGCTGCTCTCAGGTCTCCCTGGAGCCTTCTCTTCTCCAGGCTGAACACCCCAACTCTCCCAGCCTGTCCCAGAGCTGCTCCAGCCCTTGGATCATCTTGGTGGCCTCCTCTGGACCTGTCCCAACAGCTCCATGTCTCTCCTGAACCAGCCCCCCAGCCTTGCTCCAGTTCTCAAGAAGCTGCTCTGGTGGGTGCCCATGGATCCTCAGGGAGGAACAAGTTCCCAAACCAAACCCCTGCCCTCAGAGGAGGAGGGGGTGGTGGCAACAGCCCCTACAAGGGTTGGGAGTGGGGCCAACCCACCCTGCCTGGCAGAGCTGGTGGGGGTGGCTGTGCTGAGGGCACCGTGGGGCTGGCTGGGTGCTCCAGCAGGGCTGGGGTCTCCAGCAGGGCTGGGGGCTCTGGGGGCAGAGCCAGCCCTGCAGACTCACGTTGCTCATCCTGTGCACGGTGGTGCTGAGCAGGAACAGGGTGTTGATGCTGATGCTCCGGACACTGTCACTGGTGAGGTCGTCAGCATCCAGGGGCTGCTTCCTGGGCTGCTGGAAAAGGGGGAGAGCCCAGGTGAGCAGGGATCCAGCAGCAGGGCTGGCAGCTGCATCCAGCTGGGAGCAGCTCGGGGTGATTCCTGCAGGGAACCAGGGAATGGTTGAGGTTGGAAGGACCTCAAAGCCCACCCAGTGCCCCCCTGCATGGGCAGGGACACCTCCCAGCAGCCCAGG